ACCACCACCACCACCACCACCACCACTACCACTGCCGTCACTACCACCCCGAAAAACTCATCGCTTGTGCTCCCGTTCGAACGATGGCCGCCGGCACGAATGATTTCGTAATTTCTATATGTGTCAAGGTGTGTGGAACCGAGGCGAACACGCGTGTCGCTGGCTCGCGCGAGCGCTAAGCGCGATCAGCCCGCGTCCGATCGTTTCCTCGGGGCGCCTGCACGACGAACTGCGCCACGGAGCGGTTTCCGGATGACACTCCATGCACCAGGAAACGCAACGTTGCCAAGCTCGATCCTTCAGACCGCGCTGAACTTCACCACTCCGAATAAGCGAGGGACAAATTTACGTAATCCACCGACTCCTCCCCCTCCTCTACCCTGCGCCACTCTCTCGATCTGTGTTCCTTTTCTTTTTCTGTTCCTCGTCCCGAAACGGTCCCCTCGCCCCTCGCTTCCTGTACCCCCGGGTGTCCCTAGCCCCGTCCTCTTCTTCGCGTTCTCTCCGTCGCTCCGGCGACGGATCCGCGAACCTACTCGGCTGGCCGAGAGAGGAGGACGCGAGGAATCGTTCGGTCCGAGGCTCACCACCGCTTCGCTCCTCGGTATTTTTAGTGCGACGAGAGTATTTGGCGGGGCGCACCGATTCGCCTTCTCCTCGCCTCTTCGTGAACGGTCGACGTCGGCCGTCGTCTCCGTGACCGCCGTTGTGGTCGTGTAGTTTAGTGCCTCCGGTGGCGTCGTCCCTCTTGCGTGATCGACGATGCTCCTCTCGCACCTCGGTGATATGCGACCAGCGGGACACTTTGTCACTCGTTGACTCGGACCCGTTAGGATCCTCAGCTGCGCTGACTTCTCGAAGACCAGACGCGCACGCTTGTCGCGGATAAAGTCGTCTTCGTTTCGATATACCGTAATCCCGGGATATACGACTGTCACCAGTGGGTCCACGCTAGGGGAAGGTCTAGAGCGGGACGACCTTGAGCCTCTCGACGCGGTGGACGGTGTTCTCCGGGTCCTCCAGCGGTGGTCACATGTACCCGTCAGAAGGGAACGAAAACAAACTTTGGGGACCGAGAGGCACGGAGCCGCAAGCTGACGCGACCTCGCACGGTTATTTCGGTGGTAGGATCTTCGAGACCTTTCCCGCCAGCATTTTTCGTTAGGAGACCGCGGCACGAGTGTAGCTTCCGTGTCGGCGGACTCTCGTGCTTGTACTTGACACTAGGTCGTCAATCGGAGGACAGAAGCTAGCCGCTGGTTGGCCGGTCGCTCGTTTTTTCCCCGGTGGTGCGCGGACGTGATACTGCGTCTCCAATGTTCATATTCGCGCCACGTGACAACATGTCGACGTCCCGCCAGGGCTCGGCGACCCGGCGGAATCGTTACGCCCGCTCGTCGACGACCACCAGCGTCACGCAGATGCTCAGCGACTCCTGCTCGAGCCTGTTGCAACGCCTTACCACCAGGGTACGTGGCGCGTCCACCATAAACGACAACGTCGTGGTCAGCAAGCCTGTCACCAGGCGATCACCGAACCTCTGTCACTTGAACAGTGCCAGGATCCGTTTGGAAGACAAATATTCCTCCTTCTTGGACAAATATTCCTCCTGGAAGAAGCGTCACGACCACAACGATCATGGTCACCTGGATTACAGACGCACCCACGAACGGGATCACAGTTACTTCCGCAGAGAGGACAGCCCGTTCGTTCGCGACGAGAAGACTCTGGAACCATCGGTGTCTCGCACAGTCGTCAAGAGCCCTGTCAGCGTGGTGTTGTCAGAGAAAGCGTACCCGTACGTCAGATCCGGCGGTACAAAGGAGCTAAGGCGCGAAAAGACACCGGGTTACCATAGAATGGACCGTCAGAACCTGCTGAGCAACACGGATACCTATCGCCGTTACGGCAGGCATAAGTCAGGCCACGCGGAGACTCGCACCCGCAAAGTTAGACCCTACCGCAACGGGAAGAGCGAGCAACTGGAGTCCAGCTCGACCGCGCTCAGATTAACTCGGCCGATGAAAGTCGACGCGTTGACGAGCACCGAGGCAAACGACCCTGTGGACCCAGACAAGACCCCGACCGGTAGCATGACGCACGAAGTCGGCGTGGACGCGGTGTTGACCGTCGACGAGGAGGATGACCCGGCGATCAGCGAGAGGGCCGCGAAACGGAAGGAGATACAGAGTTTGATACTTAAGTACGCGGCGATGGAGGAGACGTACAGCCAGCTAGCCGCCGGTGGCAAGATCAAAATGCGGCCCAGCACCACGGATATTATCGCCAGCAAGTATAGGAAAAGCATTCATCGAAACGAGCGAAAAGACGCGGCGAAGAACGCGTCGACGAGTGTCGTTAACGTCCCGGACGCGATCCATCACGCGATTGTAAGTTGTCGAGCCGCACGCTGGCTTCTGTGGCCCCCGCCGGCTCGTGGCAGTATTGTTCCGTTGTTGCTGTTGCCACTCATCTCCCCCGCCACTTCTCTCCCCTCTGCATCATCCCTCTGAAGCGTGACTGTTTGCGTTGAACGGCGTGTTAACTGTTCGCTCCTCCTACTACTCCGTGTTTAACCTATTCGACGCATCCCGCCGTTGCGCGGCGTGAGTGTGTACCGCACCGACGGGAACCAAGGCCTCTGCGTGGAGGTGCATTAACGACGCACACAAAACACAGACACACCCCTTCTTCGCGCATCTTTGAACGTTGTCCGGTGTTTTCTTCGCGTCCTCCTCTCGTCGCGAGAGTTTTCGGGGATGATCCGCGCTCGAGTTATCTTATCGAGTTGCGCGCGATTCGCGATCCGAATTCCTTGATGATCACACGACTCAGTGCTGGTCGAAGCTCGATGATACCCGCGAGCTCCCCCTACTCCAGTTTAAGGAATCGGAATCACCGGGCGGTCGTGTGTTACCAGCGGAAACCCCGCGGGTATTGTTGTGGTTCGACCGACGCGATGATGGTTCTATGGTTCACGTTACGAAAGCAGAGCCCCCTAGGTGGCAGGCTGGATATGTTGCAGCGTTGCCGCGTACTTGACCAATCCGCGATGGGTCGTGCAAAGCTCCGCCCACTGCTTGCGTCTGGGCCAATCACTTTGGAATTTTTACCTCTGAGTCGTTGTATGTACTTTTTCTGATGAAGTTTATTGGCGAAGGTGCATTTGTTGAATGAAGGATGAATTCTAGGTCAAATTTTGAATCGAGGTTTTAAATAATATTATTTATTATTGTATTTTATTTTCGTATTTGTTATTGGAATATTGCTCGCGTTGGGTTCACTCGGCAGTATATTTTGTTTCCTCTTTGGCAGTTCTTATCGCGTATCTTGTTTATGCGTCTAACTGTTAAATCACCTTGTACTTTGAATGTTGAGATATGCTTTGGAAAAGAAATACTGGAGACGAATCACGTGATCGATTGAGTAAAATTATTTATGTACTTAAATGTCTGAGTACTAGATACAGAAAAGTAATAAAAATGCAAGTAATCAGTTCACTTCTACGAACGATTTTCGTGATTATAGATACGTTATTTGTAGCTAGAAAGAAGTAGAACAGTCGAAACTTAACTGAATACCGTTCACTGCACAGTTCTGTTTCACATTAACAGTATGTATAGTTAATTGAACGAGAATACACTTTTAAAAATAGTTTTCGTTGCAATGCTATTAAAATAAGAGCACCCCTGTACTCTAGCTCTTTTTCTTTCAATGAAATTACTCGCCGAGAATTTAAATCAATTCCCTGAATAGTTAGAATCTAATTATTTAGTTTTCATTACTTTACATTTTTCACTTCGAAAAAAAGTATGTAAAATAATAATTAATTTTCTAATAAAATGTTATATTATATAATATTATACTAGAATAGAAACTTTTAAACGCTATCATTTAGACTATGTGTAACTGCTGTAAAGCAGAAAAAAATGTTGAATACTATGTCTACCAATGTGACAATGTCAATTAAAATACGCAGCGCCAATTGGATCCCCTCCATAACACGTGTCCAGCCCAATGCCAGCCCCTGAGAGCTTTCCTTTCGTGATACAGACTGTAGCACTGAACGTGGTGTTTCTGATTCCGCCGACGAATTCCAAAAGAAACACAACTTCGAATGAATGGGGAGGGTACATATCCTGAACAGGACTACATTTTTGTTTACGACGACCGTTTCCGAAATGTATACACCATTTTTATTACGCCAAGATTTATAAAAGACAGTTCGATGGACCGATATGACCGAATGAGTACCGCCGCCCTGCCTTGACTTCTTTTTTTAAACGAGAAACAGTTCCGTTAAGGTTCTACGATAATTAAAAATTTGTCAGATCCGATCGCGTTTTATCCGTAAGATCGATAAGATAGGCTGAAAAAGTGTCGATCGGCACTGTCGTCGCGGTGGCGACGCCTCACGAGGATCGATCGTCGGATCGATCATCGGGGTGCCACCACCGGCGCGCACACGTAAGTACTCAAAGTTTCTGCCAATGATTGATTATTAACAACAATAGAAAATTCCTCTCCGAGCGTGTTAAATAATGAACATAACGAGCCCTCGAAAGAAGCTGTCCGACGAGATCATTTCCTCCGCTGTCTCATTTTTCTAACAACAAATCTGTTCCTTCTGTTATTACGTCACTTTATTGCAATTCGGGAGTCAAACGGAGTTTCTCTTTCAACTCATTCTTCAAATTCACGCAATTGAATCGAAAAATCTTCGAATCAGGACGGCTTCTTCGAGGCGATTAGAAACCTAACTTTAACACAAAGTATGAAATAACGAGCATAGGAAAAATACGATATATCCAAGCAAAATACGTACATATATACAATATATATATACATATATATATAAGAGGTAAAAAGATAAATATATATATTTAGATATATATACTTCAAAAAAGTAAAGATAAGAGTAATAATAAATATAGAAATGAAAGTATATATATATAATCTAGAAAAAAAATGAAAAAAAATGTTCGCTTTGTGCCGATGGTAAATTCGTAACCGCAACTTTCTGACTTGGCAAACCATTTTGCCCTCTCCCCTTTCTCTCTGATTGTTGGGTTACCATCTCCGTTGTAATGGAATGGAATGGAAATGGATATGGCACACGGATTGGTCACTATGGTCGACTGGGCGCTCGGATCGGGGTGGTACGATGATGACCGATGACGATGATGTTGATCCCCCTACTTCCTCCCCACCGACACACTCGTACGTTCGTCCGTGCTTACACACGTCCTCTACCGCGTGTTACACGGGTCTCCGCCCTTCGTGGTGGTGGTGGTGGTGGTGGATGACGGTGTGTGGCAATCGGTTGACGCGACGGACCCGGATGTGGACCCCAACAACAACAACAACTACGGCTACTACAACTGATGACGACGACAACTTGGTCATCAATTGGATCATGCGACGCTCGATCAACGGGGACCATTCTTCCTGATGGCTACCAACCTCTGGCGAACCTGGCGATGAATCGACGTCTTCGACGACCGGTGGGGGAACCGTTACCTCTGGCCGGCTCCATCACGTTACCATCACGAACACACGGGTACCGATCGCCGGACGCAATGGTCCCGGACACCAAACTGGTGCTGGCCACACCTTCTCTGATTGGGTCCTCTCTTGGCGCGCGCCGCTGATACCGATTCCGCCGGCCCATACGTAGAGCCCACGACCGCCCTCCGTCGAGGACGACGAAGACGGCCACCTTGTTTACCAATCCGGCGACATCCTGGCAAATAGATGTTCGTGAATACGTGAATACACTCATTGTAGTAGATTTAAGCAAGCCTCAGATCGATTGATCGGTCGATCGATCGGACGGTTACCTACGGTATCTGCCCATAGTCTCTCTTTGTTTCTCGGCCACCTTCCTGCGAGTTCTCTCTTTCTCTCTGAGCAGAGGTCTAACAGGGTTTCTTTCTCGCTTCATCTTCGACTGTTGCTGATATTCGACGACGTGGTGGTGGATAGTTTTGTTTTCGGTGTTTCAATAATCGGTGAACGTTGATTCAGAGTTAGGGTATGTAGGATTGGGCAGCAGTCTTTGGAGAAGTGGAAACGTTAAGAATTTTTCGTGGAAAACGAATCCCGATTAGACGATGTCTAGATTCTTTCTTAGTGTCAAGCTTCTTCTGGTATTAATTGTTTCTACTATTTCTCGGTAAACTTTACGTGGTATTACTCAGATCAACTCAGATTTCTGACAATTGATTTTTCGAATGAACAGCATTAGGGTATTCGTATTCTCCTGTTGAAACGTGTCTTCTTTTGTGTATCTTTGTTTTCCGTTGCTACAGCTCGTGTTTGTCTTCCGTTTGATTCATAGGTACTTAATCACGGGGAAGATTACATACTGTCTTGTCAGAACGAATGTTTACGCTGTAAGCAATGTTTCCTTCAGTCTATGATACTCTGTACAAGGGGGTTCATGTTCTTGTTCCAGTGCATTACTTCTCTTATAGTTAAAAGAATTGCTTCCAGTAACGTTCTAGTACTGATAATATCAGACACGAAAAATAATTTAATTTAATATCGAATGGCCGGTGTGCTTTTCTACTGTTTGGAGAAAATTGTTATCTCTGTTTTTCAAAAACCGATTTTGACACCAGGTATAAGTAACGCATCTACTGTTGCGAATTCCTCGTGGCATTTCGTAGAATAATGTCTTCGTTTCTGAGAAATTTTACTACAACTTTGAAATATTTGTTAGTGACTAGATAAATTCGAATTTTGTGTTGCTCTATATACTGTTTCTACCTTTGTTCTTAATATATATTTTTATAGACCAGAATTTTGTATTAGTGCGTTTTATTAATGCATACATTAATGCTAACGTTATCAATGATTAATGTCTTCTAATATTTGTGCAAGTAGTTTATAATTTAGTAATTAGTGCACGGAAATAAATACGAAATTTCGGTACTACAAAAATATATGCTAAATAAAAGAACAACATTGTGCAACACCGATTATAAATCAAAATGTTAGCGACAACAGCCTCATTTTACCCAGTGTGGTTTCACAAGCGATGTTCGCACCCTTGCTGGTCTCACGATATGCATTATTCAGCTTCCTGCAAACGCAACAGGTAGAAGAGTAAGCAATGGCTATCTGAATCTCAATAGCTCCTCAGCATCTAATTTATTCAAAATTGAAGAGGCTTAGCAATACACAAAAGACCAACAAAATTTAATGTCACCGAATCAAGTAAATGAAATCGTCGATTAATCAATAATAGAATTTGACGCTAATCGTACGTAGGTTGCGCTAACGCGTACAAAATGGCGGGCTACTTTTACGAGAACTTCTCTAGAGAATCTAAATTTGGAATCAAACAATCCAATTCTCAGTGCATTACCCCGGAAGACCGCAAATGGTTGAGGTAGGTTCTCGCTTCTCAGAGAGACCACGTCGTTTCGAGTAATCGGGGGGCACCGATTCGCTCTTTGAACCTCGTGTGTTTCGCAAAAATCACCCCCACGTGACCGTCGAAGGTGAAGTTGGACCAGGGAGACAGAGAAACGAAGGAAGGAGGAGAGACAAAGAGAAACTACGCTTGCGCTATCTCCTCGAAACGTCTTCCTCGGGATGACGTGTTCCTGTCTCTTTAAATAGGCGCACGAGGACATCTGACATTCACTCTCATTATCCTGAGGAGCTTTCTTTTATTCGGCATCTCGAAGATTTTCAGCGACGTGTCCAATGTCGTTTCATTCAGACAAAAGAGACAATGTCAGATCAGAAATCACGCAGAATCAGGATCAGATCGGGACTGACAGTCAATGTCCTGTCCTCAACTGCCGTTTTACGGTTAGGGTACCTCGGCCTTTAGGAGAACAGCAGTTTCGATCGATATCAAGCTCTATGATACCGTTTTTTTTTCACTTTATCATACATCCGTTCACAACGTTACGGCATACAGTTCAGTTTCGGCCGAACGTCCACGGCGAAGGCACGTTCATGTTGCTCCCGTTCGCATTCAGGTTTCTTCAAGAGAAAGGATCTTGAAAGTTAGAGCCTAGATTACAGACTAGGTAAAATATCCGAGTTCGCTCTATCAAAATTACTAAGGACCTAGGATTTTACCTAGTCGCTTCTGAAACGAACCTCTGGGGATCGTCTTCGGGTCTCCCAGGGTAGCAACATGGCCGAACTTCTGTGGACGCTAGGTCTTCGATCTATCGGATGCTCATCTCTCTTTTTACATTGCAGATAAAGTACTGGCCACCCTAGGAGAGGGTACTTTTGGAAAAGTTGTCAAGGTTAAGGACTTGCAAATGTAAGTGGCCGCTCACGTAACTACTACGTAGGTAACCTACACACGCGCGCGCGCACACACACGCACACACCTCGTCCGTGTCTCTATCCACGCTCATGCCTGCCATCCGTCCCGTCAGCTTTCTCCTTCTGTCTCTTCCTTCTCCCGTTCTTCCCCGAGACCGAGACGAGGGAGAATCTGTCCGAAAGGTGCGTGGCGCGACTCGAGTCATAGCACGCTCAGAAATAGATGTGGCCGTACTGTCACAAAATGACGCGCGTGTAGTCGCAATAATAGGATGGCCTTGCACTTTGTTTTACGGGCCAACGCAGGCATCATCTCGAAGAGCGCCGCGAGCGAACAACGTCGAGTCTCTCTCGCTAAACTCGCTCGCTCGGTCGCTCGCGAGAGCTTTTTTCCCTTCTCCCCTTCGAGAGTATCTTTAACGATGGTTAGGCCGCTTCTCTCGTCGCATCCTGCGATCAGGAAACCACGTTGGACCCGAGCAACGGGGTCGGACCTACCACCAGTCGTCTAATAAAAGTACAATGACGTTTGCAGGGATCACGTGATGGCTCTGAAAATTATCAAGAACGTAGAGAAGTATAGGGAAGCTGCGAAGCTCGAAATAAACGCCTTAGAGAAAATCGCGACCAAGGATCCGGAAGGCCAGCAGTTAGTATCTTCAGTGGAATGAGTCTTTAGGGGCAGACTGGTGAAAAGTATTCGAATATGATTAATGCAGCGTGATTTATTTGCACGTTGACGCATCGACTGCGAGCAAGGTATTTTCATTTGCAAAGTGGAACTTGTCAGTGGGAACCGATTTGACAAATGAGTAATAACATTTAAAATTGCCTCTAGTACGCATTGTATGATTCAGTATGATCCAGTGCGTTACTAGGTAAAGGAATAATTTCGTGTGCTTTGCAGATAAGATCTTTCCAAATACTCAGCTTTTATATTATTTTTATTATTACTATTCAGAGAATACAGAATACGTAAAACAGAGTAATTTATTGCAAAAAGTAAATAAATAACTATCGCTGCATCGATGCATGAGGGTTGAATACTTTTTCCCAGAAATAGCATTCACAAACTCTGCCAAGTTTGGTTCAATGTTTTACTACTTTCAGCCTGTGTGTAAAGATGCTCGACTGGTTCAACTACCATGGGCACATGTGCATAGCCTTCGAGATGCTTGGACTTAGTGTATTCGATTTCTTGGTATGTATACTTTGTACATACTGATCGAATGATGCTAGCCGCTAGTCCCTGAAATTTAGAACTTGAACGGCATGGATCATTAGTGATGTACACATATGTAGGATTAAGTGCTGATGTTAATGTATCGTTGTATTTTATTTTAGAGAGACAACAGTTACCAACCGTATCCATTGGAGCACGTCAGGCACATCGGATACCAGCTTTGCTATGCCGTCAAATTCCTTCATGATAATAAACTCACGCACACTGATCTGAAACCGGAAAACATATTATTCGTAGATTCTGACTATGATATTCTATACCAGAGTAAAAGGGTGAGAGACTCTACTGGATTCCTATTAATTACCTCACAGACTTGAAAAGTTCAACACATTCCTTGCGAAATTCTTGTAGTCTTGTTTGTTGAACATGCTTAGCTAATAGGCGTGGGCGTTATATACAGATTATGTTGATCAAGTTTACAGGCACTTTTAGAATGCGCGGGATAAATATAATTTCGCTTTATATTTCTGTGTCAAATGAATGAAAATTACTTTTCACTCGTTATTTTTATTATTATTCTTTTAATTATTTTAAAAAAAGGATATTTTTGTTCGTAAAAGTATTTGAAAGTTACACATTGAAATAGGTTACAAAATTCGTTCTCGTATGACCTTGAACAAAATAATGCATCAATTATGATACTCCCCTTAAAACAAGTATGTTATGTTCTTTCCAAACGTCCTCCCACATAACGTTTTTTTTGGATACAATTACTTTAAAAGTTATTCCCTGTACACCCGGCTAGTGATTTAAATTAACGATAAAGAATTCGAGACCTCTAGAGTTCAAATTAAGTTTCCCTTTTTCAAGCGAAAGGATATTAGGCGTGTAAAACGGACGGACATCAGGCTTATCGACTTCGGTAGTGCCACGTTCGACCATGAACATCACAGCACGATCGTCAGTACGAGACATTACAGAGCGCCTGAAGTAATTTTAGGTAAGTAAACTGTTGGATGAAATCATCGAACGGTCGGAATCGTTGGGCCAAGCCAGACGCTAACTCTGTACTTTTATTTTTGTAGAATTAGGTTGGTCCCAGCCTTGTGACGTTTGGTCGATTGGCTGCATCCTTTTTGAACTGTACCTGGGTATTACTTTATTCCAAACACACGACAACCGCGAACACTTAGCAATGATGGAGCGTATACTTGGCACGATTCCACATCGTATGGCCCGTAAGACTAAGACCAAGTATTTCTACCACGGTAAATTGGACTGGGATGAGAAGAGCTCTGCCGGCAGATATGTTCGTGATAATTGCAAACCTCTGCATGTGAGTGATCGCCAAGATATCGCAATCATAATTTGTAAATCAAAGGTGCAGTGATTAACGATGTTCATTTTTCTTTTTTTTCTGTCCTTTTCTTTACACGTGCAGCGTTGTATGCTTTCGGATGACGAGGAACACCGACAGCTATTTGATCTCATTCAGAAAATGTTAGAATATGAACCATCCCAGAGGATAGTCCTGAAGGATGCATTGGCGCATTCCTTCTTTGACGCACTACCAGCGCACCAGAGATTACCAGACCTTCGAGCAGCTGGTGACTCTCAGCAATCTCACGAGCGATCGCACTCTCTCTCCCGATGAAGCTAGGAAAGGGACCGACTTCCCTACTGGACAGACACTCCATTATCGACGACACTACTGCTCTACGTCGCTATCCTTACATCTTTAAGTCTAACGAGATTGTACCTTTTCCCCAAAAATGTGATTCGATGACACCGGTGGAGACTTAGAGAAGAATCGTTGAACGATCAGCAAAACGCGAGAGCTACGAAATAATGTGCGTAAGGAGATTTAGGTTAACGAGATCGAATTCGACGATGTAACAATTGTCAAGTAAATTGCGAAGCAATTGTTTAACAGACAACGTGAAATAAAAGCAGTAGTGAAAATGGTGCTGTGGAACTCGAACTCAATTAAGTATGTTGTACAACGGATCGCTAATATCATCGTGTGTGGAAAGCATCGACATGTTTTCATCTCCGTTTACAGACATCTTGAATGAGGGTAGATAGCTAAATTACTAACGAGATCCCTGTTACTGGCGCGAATCGGCCAGTGTGTCTGCTCAGTGTAGCGTAACAGAGTCCCAATCACGCATCGTGTAAACATTTTCTAAATCGCTCTTCTGTACATTTTATTCTTTAATTTTATTACGATGTTATGATGCAACAAAGTTTGGAGTAAAGAAGGGTCGGCAGTTTATACTCTTGTTTGTTATAGATTGATGACCACGACGTGTTTAGTAGTAAGGATCAGATTAGTGATAAGGCAAGTAAATATACGCGTACGTGTTGAGATAATTAAAGTAACGATGATGAGAAAGTGAGAGTGAAAAAGAGAGGGAGTGTGTGATAAAAAAAAATCTCGAAGAATGCCAATTCATCGTAGTAAAGAAGATACATGTTGTAACGTTCTCGAAGAAAACCGTAAGTTTTACGGTTACAATTCGAAAATATTGTTCGTCGTATGTTTTCGATAGTCGCATCAAAGTACCGTGAGGTTGCAATTTTTAGTTCGACGCATATGTGAATATTTTTGTTAAATTGTCTTGTGTTGTTCCGGACAATCATGTGTGTTTTATTTCATCAGTCCTTACAAAAATTGAAAGGAACGTGAGGTGATTTCATTACTTTTGATTATCTATGATTAGTTTTTACGCGTGCATCGGATATCGGTTTTAAAAAGCGTGAAGCTTTCGTACGAAAATAAACCTGTGCTTTTATTTTCTATAATGAGGAATGAAAAGGATCATGGAGTTCTAACACTCCTGTTCGACTTTGTTTGCTTTTTAATTCTTATATACACGACATGACGGAAGTTCAAAGGATTCTGCTGCTCGTATAAAGATAAAAAATATGTCTAAGCACCGAGAAAATGCTGTTTCGAGTAGCAATAAAACACATTTCTTTCAAATAATTATATGAACTGCTTTATTTTAACCAGTAAATTAAGCTTCATCCCAATAATAATAATTTAATGTGGTCAATGATTCATACAAACTGAAACAGATGCTTTTATACGTACACACAACATACATGCTCATACACATCCGCACGGAACTCATAATTAGCTATATGCGAGCCTGCTCAACAGGTTCTTACAATATAATGCCAAATAAAAATAAAAAATGTTTTGAAACACATGCCTCGCACATGTGAGTATTCAACATATTTCAATTTTACCGCAGGTAATAGTTAACAGTCAAGATTTATAATTTAGGCCAGTTATATACTGGAGGTACTGATGGTTTGTAATTTGTGTCATATAATTGGGCTTTGATGAATGCTTTGTAGTCTTTAGGCTCTGGATAAACCGAAGCAAGATCTGCAAAAGAAGTTGAAACAATTTAATCAATAAAATAACTTGACATATCTCAAAGATGGGATAAAAAAATAACATTTTCTTACTATTTTCATAAGCGTATTTCATAACCTCACAGGCTATCGTCAATGAACACTTTTGAATGTCTTGTAATGGCGGATACAAGTTTCCAGACTCCAAGTCATCTTCCGATACTATTTCAGCCAATGTTTTAGCAGACACAAGGAATACTTCTTCCGGAATTGTACGCATGCCAACACAAATAACTCCCAATGCAACTCCAGGGAAAATATAACTGTTATTTCCTTGACCAGGATAGAACGTCTTGTTGTTGTAAGTTACTGGCGGGAAAGGTGATCCACTCGCAAATATACATTTTCCCTATAAATATAAAAATTTGTAATACATTGATTTTAATACGTAATGATTAGTGACAATTTATAAATGATCTATTTACAATAATAATCTATTATAAGACACTCGTACCAAAGGAGTTGACAATTCAAATGTAAAAGATGTTTTCATACCTTTGTAGCATTATATGCTTCTTCAGCAGTACATTCCGCTTTGCTGGTTGGATTACTAAGAGCAAAAATGACTGGTTTGTCATTGTTTCTTCCCATTTCTTCCAATATCTCAGTTGTGAATGCCCCACCCACAGCAGCAGCTCCGATGAGAACTGTAGGTTTTGCTGTCTTCACCACATCCAACAATGTGTTTATTGGTTCGTCATTCCGTGCGAAATGCAATTTATGCTCAGTTAGTCCACCACTTGGACGATTCTTCACGATCAGTCCTTTTGAATCGACCATCCAGATCTTGTTTTTAGCTTCTTCTTCACTGACTCCTTCTTTTCTCATCGCCATAACACACAGCCACGCAATACCTAATGAAGCCTACAAAATAATAGTTGTCATTTTAATTACTGTCTCCACTTCAAATATATACTTAAAGGTATTCAGTACTACTAAATCTAACAAAATAGTTTTCACAGTTTCATTTAATGCTAGTAATATTTACCTCTCCAGCACCTTGGAAAACAATTGTGTTTTCTGAAAGTTTTGTATTTGTGACGCGGAGAGATGCTAACAGTCCAGCTACTGCAACAGCAGCAGTTCCTTGGATATCATCATTAAAGGTACAGTAACCATCACGGTATTTATTAAGTAATCTGAATGCATTGGAATTGCCAAAATCTTCAAATTGAATTAAAGTGTTCTGGCCATATCGTTTGACTACAGCAGTCATAAATTCGTCCAAAAATTCATCATATTCATTACCAGTAACACGTTTGTGTCTGTGACCAATGTAGAGAGGATCGTCTAACAATGCCTGGAAAATGTAATGCCATTTAAAAATAACGTTTTATATTATTCCAAGTTTTTAATGAGTGTACCACTACAATGTGTCTCACCTGGGTATTTGTTCCAACATCCAAAGTAATAGGAAGACATTGGTTAGGCTTGATACCAGCTAATGCTGTGTATAAAGATAATTTTCCAACGGGTATTCCCATTCCATATGCCCCTAAATCACCCAGACCAAGTATTCTTTCTCCATCCGTGACAACAATCGCACGCACATCATGCTCAGGCCAATTTTTCAAAACATCGTACACGTGTCCCTTGTCGTGTATGCTTATAAATAAACCGCGTGGTCTACGGTATATTAGACCGAATTTTTGACAGGCCAGACCCACTGTGGGTGTGTAGACCAGAGGCATCATTTTAGCAACATCATCCCCCAGCAAACGATAAAAGAGTTTTTCATTTCTGTCCTGTAAGTTGAAATATTATTAATTCATTATTAACTAAAATTAAAGAATGAAAATTTAAAAATTTTGGCGTTAAAATAAAATACATAATAAAGAAATGATTGAATACTAAAATCGTGTGGTATATGAAGTTATTAAAGTATCAAACATTCTTTAATTACCTTATGCAATATTAACTAAAAAATTCTGTTATTGCTGTATAATACGTGTCTTTAAGTGACAAATGTATCACATAATATACTATATCTCACTTAATAGTTCAGTCGTAATAAAATGTATTCTTTTTTGCTTATTTGCCAATGCCTTGTACAAATATATCGCATTTTATAGTATTAAATTCCATTGAATGAAATTACATGCGCATGTACTTACAAGTAGACCTATCAAGTAGATATATTTCGAAAGATCATCTTCGTAACGATCTAGATTTAGGCGGCATAATTCTAACTGTTCATCTTGAGTTTTCACAGCTGCTGGTAAAAGACCATGTATCCCCAAAGTTTGCCTTTCTTGAAGGGTAAATGCCATTCCCTAGAACAGAACAAAGCATGTTTTTTAATTTTATGTCTGAAGAAAATTCGAAGTTTCATTTAATTTAATACTTCAATATTTTGGTAACGAATGAAATAATAATCTTATGTATATTTAGTGGACTGTGGAATTGGGAAAAAAATTTTATAATAAAAGATACTATTTTTAGTCTTTCATTATAAGTCTTCCTTATACAAAAGAAAAAAATATCTTCTTCAATAAAACAATAATCTCATTTTAATAAAAAATTTTGTAATTTACGTATATATTAAATATAATGTCAAATAAGTTTGCTTTCTTCATTAAATTTATTTTAATTGTTGAAGTTTATTAATTTGAACAATTTACATAAATTTAATAAGCAGAAACAGATTCCGGGACATTTTGATAGCGTGACCTTGCTTAATATTATTTTTCTGCTCGATGAAATGGGTTAACGAGAAAATTCTTGCGAGTTGCAAGTGAACGTAAGTGAAAGGCGATCAGCTGTTCCTCTACTTGGCTTTACGTAATAAACCGATACATTATTCTTCCTCATGCATACATATGAATAAATAAAATAAAATTTATTCAATGGTTACATAAATCTTCAACTGTCATTTTTTTTAAATTAATTTTTGGTTTGTTCACTTGGTATTACGTTGCTGAATACAATAGGAAAAAGTACAAGGTCCACATTATAATATTAACATAATATTAAAAGAAATGTCCAGTATTATTTACGGAATATTAACAATTTAATTTAAAAATGCATATCTTTAATGTTGAAATTACACTTACCATCTTTTTTAATCATTTTCAAAAATTTATTTCTCAAATTTATTTTTACTATAAATTATAATAGAAACCTTATCTTCAATTAAAAGAGAAGCAATTAAAGTTGAGTTCGTTAAACATTTTGTGTCGTATATTATACGAGTTTCTGATTGAAACAAGGATGAATAAATCTGAATGATCCTTGGCATACCTAAATAATAAAAATGTGGAATAATAAGTATTAAAAATGAAGAAATACAATTTCCATGGAAACTAATGAGTGCCCTCAAGATAAACATTTCCATGATCCACATCCGATTTATTACTCCAAGATCCATTTACTGATTGTAAGTCCTGGCGGAATGCTTCGGGCACTTATAACAATGAGGCTATCACAACGACTTCCATAAATGACTTTTCAAGGTAAATAACAAAAAATCTATTAGCAAATTGCAATTATTTATTTGTTTAAATCAGTATTTCTAAGTATTCTTTCGTAAATATTTCGCCTAATTAAAAATACGAAGTATTTCAAGAAAAATCATTATTTTATCATGTAGTAACAAAGAACTTTGCACACATTTATTGATTATAATAGTCACTATTCATTTGTACTTTACTTGATTGTAGTATTGCACGGCAACCTTCCAATTGGTGATCGTCAGTTTTCATCAAAAACAATTAATATTCTATTTTAATTCTTGTACACAGATAGACAACGTTAAGTATAGACATTACACGACAATTTTTAAGATTATAAAATTGAATTTCTAAATTACTTTAATCATTATTTTGATCATTATTAGTTTATTCTTACATTTGTGCTTCGAATAGAATACGAAGCATGCCCTTTCTTCGACATGCTAGGCTTCCGCATCGTTTAATTGTGACAACTCAGCAAATGTATTTCTATCGTGCTGCTAATTAAATTCTAACTATGTTACATACAGCCACCGACGATATCGTCATTTAAAAGAGTTAGAGTTGATACACCGTCTGTGTTGTCAGAGACAGGTTACATAACTGGTATTGATTTTCTGTTATCAACACTCGTAAATATCTTGTTGTCCAATCAAATATTTTTTAACAATGAAGAGAATTTTCATGGCATATTTAAAAAAAAATTCTGTAAATTTTTAAACTAAAATTTTCTCTTTATGTTTATCTGTATTTCTTAATTGTATATTTTAGTCTTCCATTTTATAACTTACTGCAATGAAAGATTTTTATTGTTGGTGAATACACTAAATAGTAAAAATATTGTTATTAATAACGAATCCATAAAATACACACAGAATACAAAATAAAATATATAAAATCAATTTTAAGAAAATACAAAAATCTACTTTCTATTAGTTTTTTAAAACAATATAAAAAGAAACAAGTGCAACAATAAGGAAACATTTTATTGCTGGCACATCTTCCTCAAAATGAGGTTTCCCAGTTAACAAGGTGTTTCGAATGAATAACACACGATCGGACAAACAACATTCCCAAGTGATGAAGAAGAGTTAAACATAGTTGCACTTTGGCGTTATTGTCCATCGTTTCAAGTGTACTCCACGATGACACAAATTTTCCTCCATTAATAGAGATGCTAGAACTGTTAGATTAGTATGTCGAAAACTGAATTTACTACTGGACAGAAGCAGATAAGTTCGAACAAGACGATTACTGTGATGAGAAGTTTCAAGGTCCAACACGGTTCCATAAGTCAACATGTCAAACATAAACATTGAGATACGCAACAATTTTCATAATTCGAGTACGCCCGCCATTCACAAATTGAATTGACTTTGACCATGACGTATACGCACGACGACATAGTAACTAAAGGGGTTAAAGATTATTTAACACACTGCAAGCCCGTTTTTGTTGTTGTTAGCTATGCTTAATTTAAACTATCGATTCTGTTGCTTTAAATATTTCCAAGTTACTTGTGACTTGTATAAAATCAAAAACTATTGTCGCGTTAATACTAGAACTAACGAGCGCTTCATACGATTAATATATAATCCCCATAAAAATTGTGATAATAGATTTTCTTCGGTTTTATCGTATATTCATTATAGTACTCAAGTGAAACTATTCATTTTTTAAATCATTTCGGTTATTTAACGCTTTTAAGATATCAGTAATTGCGATATTAGAAAACTGCAATCCGCCATTTTGACGGCTGCGGCCGTTAATATTTAATATTTTTAATGTTTTGAAAATACATTGGGAAATTTTATGTTTTAGCGACTATATACGAGAGGTTAGATATCTCGTTATGCTTCGTCACCGATCGATACCAAGACAATCGTGTCACACATCATACAATTCAATCAGACAGCGCGAATATAACATGTGCAGTCCACTAAAAACATCGTTTCATTCTAATCTTTTGTACTCGACAAATTTTCTCTATAATCAAGCATCACTTTCTAACAAAATATCACTGATATTCTTCGTAGCAAATATAAAAAGAAATCACACATAAATTAAAAAACAGAATTATTCTTTTTGAATGTATCGTGTGCCAATGCATTACACAATTTTCTATTAAATATCTAATTTTATAATATTCCAACATTTAATCAAATAGCGACTGAAAGTGGTCCAATGCAAAGGGTTAATCATCCTTAACCTGTTAATTATGGAATTTAGTTTAAAAAATCTCTTGTTTTGTGCGCAGTAAAATCAAAAAATGAAGCGTGCACTCATCAAACACAGGACGAATGCACCTAGGATATATTTTAATAAAAATCCAAAGTAAAACAAAGGAGAATTACATGTTTATTTGAAAAAATAAAGAATTTATCGTTAAAAGAATTAGTATCATTTCGAGCTTTAAGATGACGTGTATACTCGTCAAACATACTGTACGAAAACGTAAGAACACATTGTTCATCCGCAATATGTTAAACAGTTTGAACTTTATAACCTGATTTGAAATGCAGTCATCGATCATTGAAATACGGGACATAAATTTATTCAAATGCTGCTCCGTCTTCGAGCCATTTTTTATTAAGAGAATAATTTATCGACTGCCTCAAGAGTGACAAAGCTCAGGGACAATACGACGATATGTCCGACGAAGAATACTACCGATCGATTATCTAAGGTTGCCGGCGGCTTGAATTGTCCCCCCGTGAACTGTATCGATCAACGGTTGATGAACTATTCGTTAATTGTATTCCTTGATTCTTGTTATCTTCATTATACATGCAAACTGCATGAAAATTAAATTTTCCTTTGACATGTTGTCTGATGGCACTAATTATATCGTCTGCTGTATTTCCTATCGTCGCTGTCTCGAGTTTCTACTATCTTCCGTGACAATGACTTCTACTTTTTTCTATTTTTTTATTCTATGTTCATTCTTTTTATTCTAATAATTTATTAGGAACAGCAAAAATGTTGATGCTTTTTCTATGTCTACGTTCATTCGAAAGGTTAACGATCGATAATGAAATAGTAACAATTTATATTTACAGAAAATAAATAACACTTATTCACCAGGAGTCTGACACGATATTGTAGATCAAGGGGTTAAAATTTTATTCCAGAAATTTTATTTGTGATTGTTTTATAATGTTTAGGTATACTTCAGTGATTTGTAATCATTCAATCATTAAGAGATTTTGTAACAAGCAAATTTTAAGTAACTTTTAATGTTCGAAGGCTATAGTTTTGATATCTTGAATAAAGGTTTTCGATTTTTTATTATTTTACATTTTATTATTTCTATGAAATGCTTACTTCTTTGCGTCATTGCAAACAACGTCGATATTTTGATGACACGTATTAATTTGGTGATTCTGCATATTAAATCTTATAAGAAATATGTTTTTGTTTTAAATTCATTTTTGTTTAAGGCAGTTTTTAATTTACTGCAAAGTGTAATCATTATAAATCGAACAGTTCATAATAAATATTACTACTGAATTAAAATGTTTTTCTGTTAGTGTTATTCAATTGTTGAGTTGGTAGATTTTCGTTGCTGCGATAGAAGTTATTTATAACGAACAATAAACCGAATGTAAGTAGGTTGTTCACATTATCCTTGTCATTCTAAACTGTTCTATTTTTCTCACAATTCTAGGTACGCAATATAAGTCTAAATTTATTTTTACCTGATCAATACCAATGACTTAATTATGAAAAAAATTACGTTACAAAAAAGTCTTACAATATCAAAATTGAATTTTTCTTTAATAAATTTTATTTTATTTGAGAAATTTGTTTCTATAACGAATTGT